TCCCCTCCCCTCCCTTCCTTTACTGTCTCATGGTTTAATTTCTTTTGTTTCATTGTAAAGTGAAAGGCCTCACTGAGTTGTATATTTAGAGGGGAGAAGTCTTTCGTGATCAAACCCGCCCCAGGTGTGAGCTGGTCCAGGTGCGCGCTGGTCCAGGTGCGCGTGTCCACGGCTCTCTGCCTGCAGGGCACAGGTGCGGTGCTGCCCTGATGCTTGCACCCGCACCTGTGTCTGTCTCTAATGAACTTGCTTGCCCAATGCGATGCTCAGAACCATAGCTTCTTAAATCTGGAAGGTGACCCAGTTTGAAAAATAGGCAGGAATGTTGCACTCCTGCACTGACAGCTCCCCCAGGAACTTGTCTCCAACCTTGCCTTCATGACGGCATCGCGAGTGGAGATGCAGAGGCCTGGCAAACACGAAGCCACAACGTTGTCCTGAGTTAAAATTACTTTTTCCCCAAGATGCACAGAGATCTGTGAACTTTTCTCAGTTTTCCCTATCACCTCTTCATTAAAAAGGGGGAGCATTCAGGGACCCTGAAAGTAGTTCATAAGCTTTTATGTTCTTTCTGATTTTTTCTGGTACAGAAAATGTCACCCTGGGAAGCCCGGTTACTTTCCACTTCCCCTGCGACGAGTCCAAGCACACATCGCATTGCCCATGAATTCCATACCAACTTGGCTTGTAGTCATTACAGTTGGTGGGTGTTTTAAATAAAACCAACCATTCTAGGCTCTATCCATTGTTCTGCTGCCAAGTGTATACCTACTAATTGCTCTGTGCCTCAGTTTACCAGGTAAGAAAATAGTATTTTGAAATATCAAATAAGGCAGATTAGAAAACACTGTTAATCCCTCCAAGAGAAAAGGCACATTGACTATAACCTACTATTATTAGCAGTGTTAAAAGACCACCAAAGAATGCCGGGATAATGGCCAGGCCCAGAGAGCCTCGGAGGGTGAGGTCAGAACAGGCAGAGTGCAGGACTCGGTAGCCCCCTCTCTGGATCGTGTGCTCACTGTGTGATGTCAAGAACATTGTTTTGAAGAGCAATACACTCCCCCGCTGTGCCAAAAAAAATTAATACTGGCATCAGAAAAGCTATGTCCTGGCTTGGCCATTGACCGTCGGAGTGACAGGGACACATCACACCTGAGCAGAGTTGATTGGAATAAGAATTAAAAAGAATTTTCTTGTGTTACCCAAATATGTGCAAAAATAAAGTACAGACTCCCATGTTATATTTTTTACTGAACTGTAAACCTCAATCAAACTTGGAAGTTTACTAATAAACACAGTAAAGCCAATAACATTCAAGGTGGCATTAAGGAGTCTGCTCTCAGCCTGAAACCAGCACTGGCCACCACGGTCACTCAGCATGTTTTGAGGTCAGTGTCTTTCATCAGTGCCAGGTGACTCAGTTTTTCCACCGATTTCTTCTATCCAAGCAAACACTTAGTTTTACATCATTATGTATAAATGTGTCATTAATTTGCTTTAGGTGGGGCAAAGGCATCTCGTCTCTTCTGACTAGATGATGGTTCTTTTTTACCTAATTTTTTAAAAACCTGGTACCTATAACTTTAGAAACCCGACTAAAACTCTTGGCACTAAAACTGCATACAGAACATGACGACAAGGTGGTCATTCAGATGATCCCAAATATTCTTGTATTAATTTTTAAGATTATATGGAAATGAAAATAAAAAATTAAAAGGAAATTTTGGTGACATCTCAAATGCAGGGGAATATACCTGCCCAACCTTAGGTTCCATGGACCTCAGTTTGAGAAACACTAGTGCTCCCTGAGGAACCTTCTGATGTTAACATCTCCCGAGTCCAGGAAGAGGGTCTCTGATCACAAGCTACAGCCTTAGTTTTGCTAGTAGCTTCAGAGTCTTACCACACCTTCCCTGACGGAAACGAGCAGCCAGGTGGCCGGTTGGACTGTCTCCTCCCTTTCCCAGTCCAGTCTGTGACTATCCCAGCGGACGGTGCGCCGCGTGGGAAGATCAAACACTTAGCTGGACTGCACCCCGGAGAAAGCCCCAGGGCCACAGCCCACTGAGTGACATGTTGGAGGAGTGTCGCCCCCCCCTTACACTGTCTTAGAGGAGCTCCAGGGCAATGCCGTCTGGAAGGTGCCTTCACCGCCCAGCGCCCCGCAGGGGGTGCTCAGTAGCCACTGTGGCCCACCCACAGGCACCTCCCTCTTCCCGTCCGCTGGAGGGTTTTCCGGGGCTGCTGGAGAGAGAGGGGACCTACCAGTGCAGGCGCTCGCCGCGGAGGCTCTTCCAGATGCTGAAACCGGGCTAACCCATGGCCCCGGGCCGTTGGAAGCAGCAGCGCCCAGGAGCCATCTGCACTCAGGATAAGCCTTGTCCAGCTGCCCACCACCCCCGAGACACTTTTAATGTTGAAAATATCAACTTTGCAGAGAAATCTTTTCCGCTTTCATGAATTAAGAGAGTTATTGGTTCTGTGACTGTTTAGAAATTAAAACCCACTTGGTCACCTCGGCCCACTTCTGAGGCTGTAGAGCCTGTGCCCTGATTAGACGAGGTGGCAGGTGAGGGGGCTCAGGTTCCCTGTGTAGGGATTGAGCTCATATATTCAAACCACCTTAAAAGAATTAAAATCAGGGTGTGTGCAAGGTGGAAGGGACCAATGGGGAAAATTAGGGGATATCTGTGATACTTTCAACAATAAAGATAAATTTAAAAAAGAATTAAAATCACTACTAATGCCCAAGAAGAAAAGAGCCACGCATGTCACCCACCATGAGGATCGTGTGCAACTGACCTTGGAGCACCCACTGCTGAGTTTCTTCTGGGTCAGTGGGTCTCAGGGAGGCCCCGGACCAGCAGCAGCAGCACCTGGGGACTGGTCAAAAGTGCACATCTGTGGCCTCACCTCAGACCCACCGAGTGGGACACCCTGGTGGAACTTAGCAATCTGTGTTTTAAACCTGCGTAGGATTCTGACGCCAGCTCCAGTGTGTGGACCACTGTGGACAGACGGACCAGAGTGGCTCTCAGCCCTGGGTCACCCTGGAGTCGTGGGGGAGCTTTTAAACATCCCCGGTCCTCAGGCCTCACACCCAATTCAGCTAAATCAGATTACCTGGGAGCGGGGGCTCGGTAATTTCAAAGCCTCAGTGATCCAATGTGCTGGGAATAGGTGCCCTTCGCATCCTTGCTGCTCAAAGTGTGGGCTGGGGCGGCAGCAGGGTGTGCGAGCTGCTGCGGACAGAGCGCAGGCCCTGCCCTGGACCCCCGGCCCCCGGCCCACCCCCAGGCAGCATCTGCATTTCACAGGATCCCTGTGGCTCATGCTGCGGTAGAGTTTGAGCAGGTCGCCTCGTGGGCTGTGTTTGGGCAGCATGGCTTTCCTCAGCTGCTCTGTGCACTGCGGTTAGTGATGTGGCATCTCGTCTTTTTTTGACAGGACACGACAGACTACGTTGCGTACGTAGCCAAGGACCCTGTTAATCGCAGAGGTAAGCGATGCTTGACTCTTGTCATCCCTCCTCGAGTCCAGCCAGGCTTGACACCGGGTGTTAACTCAGATGTTTCTCTCAGCTCAGCCCCTTTCACCGAAACCAGCCCGGGTCACACCGCAGTGTTCATGATCACTGAGGTCTGCAGGGGGCCCACCTGCTGGTCTGTGAGCTTCAGATGCACGCCTGGGTCCGGCCCCGATTGCTGGGAGCACGGGCCCAGCTCAGAGCAGCTCCACTCGCCCTGAAAGTGGCCCCATTACACACGGAAGACCGCACATCGCCCGGGCCCCGGACACGCAGCTCCTGGGTGCCCGCTGCTGACCGAGTCTCTCCGAGAGGCCTCACACCGCCCTGCACACCTGAAGGCCAGTGCCCAAGTCTAGGCGCGGTCGCCTCATGCCCCTCAAAGCTACCCGAGCTGGAGTGGGGTCCGAGGCATTCAAGTACTTTCCATCCTTGTGGGCCGTTACTCCCAGACTCTCTGCTCACCACTGCCCTGCTTTTATCACTTGCAAAACCAAAGCCCCACTCGCGAGCCTGTGGGCGGCCGACGAAGCGTGTGCTGCCCTTGAAGGCCAGGCAGCTCTGCGCGCCACCCCCCCCCGTTCAGAACTCATTGAAAACAGTGCCAACACTTCCCTCTACTACCCACCGCTTCCCTACTCTGCCCACCCTCCACCCAGGTACCAACTGCTACGTTTTCCTAGTGTGCAGACTTTTTAATTCATATACTTACACGTTTTCTTCTTTTTAAATTTCAATGCAAATGAGCTTCAAATCTTAGCATTCTGTTTTGTCCCCCCGCCCCCACATTATATCTTGGACATATTTTCAAGACAGCTTAGAGAGATCAGGTGACCTGACCCACAATGGGGCTTTTCCAAGACCTGCCCTCAGGTCCACAGAGCCCCAGGGGCCCCCGTGGTCTTCCCGGCAATGTTATGTAGCCCCCCTAAAGAAGCATGTGTGGAGAAACAGTGTTAGATAATCGAGATACATCAATGCACCTTGCAAATTACTGTGCAGGCCGGCTTGAAAATGTGCATTCCCATGTAAGGGTGTGGGGTGATTTTCCATCGAGCCTCTTCCAGCCCTGGGTTAGTGAGCAGTGGTTTGGGGGCTGCCTTTTCTTTCTTGGGAATGAAGGTGAGATCTTACAGTGTGGCTGTCATTCCCCTCCAGGGGTGCTGCAGCTCCCCTAGAAGCCGCCACTGGGGGCCTGGGGGAAGGGGATTTCATAGATGAGGTGCTCTCATGCAGAGAACACATTGTCACACTGTCCCTCCTCGACCAGAGGTGGATAAATACCAAGTTTTAGGGTAGAAGGGGAGGGAACAAGGTAGTCTTGATGAGTTGAGGACTATCCCCAGCACCCCTTGGGGACACGCTCTAGCCGACTACCTCTTGAACCTGAAGCAGCTCTTATGTAACGTGCAGATAACCGGTGCTTGTCTGGGTGCGAGGGCAGACGATGGCTGTTCAGCAAAGCTCCTTCTTCCTGTTAGAGGCTGTATGTTTAGTTTGCTGGGGCTACTGTCCAGATGCTACAAGCGGGTGCCTTGAAACAATAGGAATCATTGTCTCGTAGTACTAGAGGCCAGAGACCTGGGGCCAAGGTGCTGGCAGGGCCACGCTCCCTCTAAGGCCCGTGGGGAGAATGCTTCCTGCCTCTTCTAGCTGCCAGGTGTGTGCCAGCCATCCTGGGCATCCCGGGCTGTGGGTGCCTCACTGCGATCCTCAGGCCTCACATGGCCGGTGCCGAGGGGGCCTGTCTGTGTGTGGACATCTTATAAGGACACCAGTTACACTGGATCAGGCCCACCCATCCAGCCAGACCTCCTCTCAACTAGTTATGTCTACAGCCCCCTATTTCTAAATGAGGCCACATCTTTATATAACCTATAATCGCGGTCACATCCCTGTTCAGGCACCCTTTGGACCTGGCTGTGGAAAGTCATATCCTGTACGCAGCTGGCGCTAACCTACCGGGACAAAAGCCAGCGTGTTCAGCCTGAGCAGTTTCTAACACATTCTGCAGCTTCCCCCAAGATTATATGAGGAACAAGGACCTTGGGGAACGGCTTGAGCAGGAACCCCGGGCGTGGGACCGTTTCCTTTAGGGGCCGCACTTGCCTACTCTGGGCCCCAGCAACAGCACAGGGTTGTTTCAACAAAAACTCAGGGCTGCCCTGGCCTTGGATAGTTGTGGGCCCCAGGAGGCGACTTTCTGGGAAAGGTCTTCAATACTCTGATCTCACTGGGGGCAAACAACACAGCACCTCCTCTGACTTCCTTCCTTAAACAAAACCTTCCTGTACAGTGGGTGGAAGCACTGGTTTACTTGTTGCTTTTTAAACTGGGAGGCTAATTTCCATCTCCTAACGTTGGGCAGGAGGTTAGTTTTCCTCTGAGCGGACATTAAGGTTTCTCCACACTTGGCTGTTGTCAGCAGGGATTGTACAAACCAGCCAGGCCTTGGACTTAGACGTCCTGTGGTGGAGACTGACCATTCTGTCTCGCCTGGGCCTCTGGCTGAGAGCCAGACTCTTGCGCTCCCCAGCTGCTGCACCTCTGCACTCACAGCCCCTCACACTTGACAGGCCACAGATCTGTCTTCCCTCCCTCCACCCAGCATGTCCTAGTCTCATCACTGTGTCCCAGGACCTGAGTGAGCTCAGTCCTGCTCTGACCTGTCTCATTGCCCACCATGCCTCCCACCTCCAGCTCCATGGACGGCTGGCTCTTCCTTGAACACCAAGCCAGCACCTGCCTCAGGGCCTTTGCACCTGCTATGCCCTTGACTGCAACTTACCCCCACATGGCTCCCTCCCTGACTTCCTTGAAGCTTCCTCTCCAATGTCACCTTATACCACTACCAAAGGGCCAGTGCCCTGTGCTTGTTTTGGGCCATGTTGTAGGTTTTACATTATTTTGGGTCTTGACTGTGCATGTGTCTCTCATCTAGTCTTCTTGCTCAGGAATGATGCCTCTGACTTTGTCTTTTCCTCGTGGGGATGAAACAAACAACCCCAATGTTCCTCTTGGTGAGGGCCTCCTCACTTCTCACACACACCAGGGCACGCAGGCCAGGCTAGAAGACAGTGGCTTTTGGCTGAAGCCCATTGCAGTGCTCTGAGAAAATAATAGGCCCAGTGAGGCTGGCAGCCCAGGGTTGGCTTGGGATTTGGAGTGAGTTTCTGGAACACAGAGAGGGCATTTCACAGAAGGAGCCTCACACCCAGCCAGCAGATGCTGTTTTCTCAGTCCACTGAGGACGTGCCAGGTAGCAGAGCCCAGAGTCGTCCTGCCAGCCTTGGGCACTTGCAACTGACAGGGCTCAGCCCCTGCCCAGCGAGGGTGCTGCCACCCGGAGCTCTGCAGCTTGCGATGTCCTGAGAGCTTTACTTGACCAGGACGCTGTCCAGGCCTGCTGTCCCCGGTGTGTGGAGGACGGGTGGTGCTGTGCAGTTGAGCGGCCCCTCTGCCGAAACCTGATTCTTCACTCACCCTGTTAAAGGCTAGGGCTCGGTTTTTCTCGTCAAAAGAAAGATGGGATGCATTTCTTGGCCCCTCCCTGGTCTCCTTTCTGGTTCTCCAAAGGGTGCCAGCCAGGCCCCTTGGGGCTGCCGATGCTGCAGGGGGTGTGTGTCTGGAAGCGCAGGGTGTGGGGAGTCAGGTGTCCTTCCTCTCCTTCCCTTCAGCCGGAAAGACACGTCCATTCCTATCTGTTAACCCACAACCGGCAGCTCTCATAGCTCTTTCACGTGGGCTTGCTTGGTGCCTACCCGGATTGATACTTAAAAACTACTATCAATAGTCAATAACCAAAAATCAGCTGGGACATCATCTCCTGGGCCCGATCCCGTGGCCATAGTGTGTCCAAGGAGGGCATGGCAGTCCACAGCCAGTGCGGCCCGCTTCCCCCGAGGGCGCCCCCCAGCCTGGGGTGGGGCGAAACTGAGGACGGGCCTGGCAGCTGCTGTCCAGTGAGCTCCGCCGGCTTTGAGCACAGAGAAGGCAGCATCCTGCTGGAAGTCGCCAGACTTCAAAGGCAGCAATGTCTCCGCCCCTTTCTGCTCAGCTTCCCGCCTAAGGAGCCCTCTTCCCCCCGTGTCCTGAGTTCTCCTGCAGCCAGAGCACAGCTCGGGGTCCCTGGTGCCTGCGAGCAGCACCCTTGGAGAAAGGCCGCCTCCTCACTGCTGGCACCCGCCGCCCTCCCCAAGGAGCCCTCCCCGAAATACAGCTACACCCTGACTGTGGGCAAGACAAAGGTGTGGACACGCGTCTGTTCTTTTCCCCAGGGACAGTGTCTCTGTCCCGTCAGTGACTGGCTGCGCCGTGCTGTCACGGTGGCGGTGGAGAGGCTGGCCCCCCGTGGGAAGCCAGGATGGTCACTATCCTGTAGAGCAGAGCTGGACCTCTCTTGCTTTTCCACAGGCGACCCTCCTTTTTCTGAAGGTTTCACATGGATTGTGCTGCAGCCTGGTCACAGGACAGAGTGTCCTTGAGGGATGACCAGCACCTGCCACAAAGGGATTACTTTTTAATTTTAGAGAGAGTAGGCTATTAAGGAATGCATCCAATGGTGACACGGATTGAGCTGCAGGTAGAGCCTCCAGGACATATTATGAAGGACACACCCCCCCCTTTGGCCCCCTTTTCTCACTGGGGCTGACAGGCTGCACCCTCAGGAGGGCTTCTGTGCAGGAGCCTGGGCAACTCCAGAGTCTGTCTCTAATGGGCATGGTCTCTGGCTCCCACAGCTTGCCACATTCTGGAATGCTGTGACGGGCTGGCACAGGATGTCATCGGCTCCATTGGACAAGCCTTTGAGCTCCGATTTAAGCAGTATTTGCAGTGTCCTTCCAAGATCCCTGTTCTCCACGACCGGTGAGTAGTGCTACTGTTTGCAGTGGCCTTTCTGCAATGTATCACCTGTCCTCCTAAAAAATGCCCAAAAGGGGAAAACTATAAAACCGCCTCCTTGAGGTGTGCCCTGTCCAGGGCTTCCTGGGCTCCGAGACACCCGGTGGTGCTGGGCCCTGGCTGAGGAAACCGGCAGATGGAAGCCAGCATATGGACGATGCTCTGAATGTTTAGAAAAACTTTTTTTCTTGAAACTATAGTGACAGTAGCCAAGGTTACAGAAAAGCATTGTAATATGTTTTTTCTCTGTTTCTTGTGCAACCATGTGATGTTTCCACATGTCACCTCTTTGGGTCTGCATTACAACAGGTTCTGCACAACCCATTGTCCTTGTCATCGTGGTTGACCAATGTCCTGACTCAGAGGCTCCTCTGGGAGGCCCTGGGTCTGGAGTGACCCACATCGGTCCTGCTATACTGGCCTGTGTAGCTTGGAAACTCAGTGTGGCCCTGGTCACGGCCTTTAACCAGTCTGGGTCTCAGCAGCTTTCTCTGTAAAATAAGAATAGTGCCTTGGCAGTACTGTTATTTTAAGTGTTAAATAAAATAGTAAATGTGAACAGAAATTGTGAGATATTTAATTTATTATAAAAAATGTTCAGAATCTACCATTGAATTTCCTTAGGACATAGGATATCCCATACAGCATAAAGTGTTAAAAAGAGTAATGCAGGGCTTGGCAGTCATTCAATAGTCTGTCCTTGACTGAACTTTCATGATAAAGCCTATTGCCATGGTGTGTTCACTGTAAGTAAAACTTTATTTTATTTCTCCCAAATTTACTTTGCATGTTTTTTCCAACTTCTACAGCCACACTCTGTGACTTAGTCATGGAGGCAGTGTCTACCTTTGTCTTCATTATTATGAAGATTTTTGTCATCTGTATGAAGTCTTCACCTTTCTTGAAAGAGACTTTTAATTTTTTCTCTCATCCACTGGAAAGCTCTAAGACATTCTTTTTGGAGGTGCCTGTGAAGGCTCCATGTTTTCCCCAGTTGACAGAAGCCATCACAAGCTCAGATGAGCTGTGTATAAGAAGAGTTAGAGTTAGAAAGTGACAGAGACCCACATGTCCTTTGCAGGGGAATGAGTGAACAATTCTACACATAGTCTATGGATAAATGCATGTATATAAAAGCCTGTGGGAATATTATACACCAACTCTCGCATATCCGAGGGTGAGCTGGGTGGAGAGTGGGCTTTAACTTTATTTGTCAGGTGTATTTTCTCCCTAACATTTTATAATGAAAAGGTGCTAATATACAAAAAATCTTTACAGTGGACACCTTTATACTCATCATCTAGATTCTACCATTAACATTTTACTGTTAACCCTTTGCGGCAGTATTAAATTTGGACATGGGTGTCGTGCTGGTCAGAATTAATTTCCATTGAAAGAGCAGTGATACATAACATGCAAGATTATGAAGGATAAACAAGATTTATGAACTGATACATGAATGAATAGAGTTAAGATTCGTACGGTTCCTTGCGGTGGTGGCTGAGAGCAGACATACGACCGGAATGGTAAAAAAGCTTTGGTGGCTGAGAGTAGACAAATGACCGCAAAGGGTTAACTTCACATATCTATCCATCCAATGTAAGTTTGACAAATTTTTTTTCTTTAAGAAAAAAGGAAGCAAATATAGCAAAATGTTCACACTGTTTAATCTCAGTGGTGGATGCGTAGGTATCTTTTATGTTAATTATTATGGTTTTCTGTACTTTTGAAATGTTATATAAAAGTCAAATAAACACTATTAAACCAATATGTACAAAAATAGGTGGGTGGAGTTAACTGAACTACCATGCTTCCCTGCAAATATATTTAAGGCACAAAGTCCTTTATATGTTTCTATATAATAAAGTTTGAAGAAATTTGTGGAAATTTAATTTTGTATACCTTCATTCTCTATTTCTTCATGGTAATATGTATTAGCATCTAGTGTCCTTTCATTTCGGCCTGAAGCACTTCCTTTAATATTAATTGGAGGGCAGATCTGCTAGTGATGAACTTTTTCAGTATTTATCTGGAAATGTCTTATTTCTGTTTCATTTTGGAAGGATAGTTTTACTGGATATAGAGTGCCTTGGTAGACAGTCTTTTTCTTTCCGTACATGCATATGCCATCCCACTGCTTTCTGGCCTTCATTGTTTCTGATAAGAAGTCAGCTGTTAATATTACTGAGGATCCTTTGTCCAAAATCTGAGTTTCTGCAGGGACAGTTTCTATTAATTGCTTTTTATCTTTGTGTTTCTTTGCATGTCTCATAATTTTGTTGTTGAAACTAGAGATTTTAAATAATATAATGTGGCAACTCTGGAAATCAGATTTCTCTCCTCCTCGGGATTTGTTGTTGCTGTTTTTTGTTCTAATAAGTTTTCTAAACTGAATCCATAAAGTCTCTGTTTTTAGTCAGATATGACCACTGGCAACTCTGCTCAGTTCAATTATTAGAAAACTAGTGATTAGAAAGAGATTTCCTTAAATTCCTGGAGTCATTAAGTCTCCCAGTCTTTGATGAGGGGCTGTCCTTGTGTGGGGGACACCCCTTCTACACTCAGCCAGGTAATTGGCAATTCTGCCTTAGCTTTCACTTCCTTTTTGTGCATAGCTTCAAGGTAAGCCAGAGGTGAAACTAGGGGCTTTTTATATCTTTCCTGAGCAGGAATACACCCTTGGACATGAAAAGAGCCCTATGAATATATGTGGCCTTCTAGATTTCTGGAAATATGTTGAAGTTTATCAAAATTCCCGTGGACATCCATTTTATAGCTTTTCTTTTAAAGTTTTTGATTAGCCTACTCTTTGCCCCAAATGTTATCCACTGCCTCAGGGAGCCATGTTGTTAAACAATTGCCTCTGATTGTTTTTGACAAATGTCCCAGGAGAAGTGGAATTTTTTTTCCCCTGGGCAAGTTCTGAATCAGGTGAAATAAAGACAACCTTAGGAGTGACCTCTTCTAAGGAATAACTAGACAGTGTATATACTGATTGTTCTCTAGGAATGGGGCTGTTTTGCCCCTTCCCATGGCTATCATGCTACTAGTTTTCATTGTGATTGTGTGCTGTTTGTTTTCAAGACCGCTGTGGAGATGGGAATAGGGTAAGTTAAAATGCAAAATAAACACTCCCTAGGTTGTTGCAAGCCTCTGGTTAATTTCCAGGGTTTTAAATAGTTGATCCTGAAAAAAAATTTTTTTAAACCTGTTATATTGTTGTTTTCATGGAAGAGGAAATTTTCAGAGGTTCTTTCTCTGCCATTTTCCCTGATGTCACTAATCTTTACTTTTTAGTTGATTTTGCTTTGGATAAATTTTATAATTTACTAAAATGTGTGTCTGTGCCTTGAGGATCTAGTTGTCTTTACATATAAACTTTTTCTTTCCTAATTAAAATGTACTTTTAAAAAATGATTTTTTCCTGTTTCAAATATGATTGGAATTTGCAAAGGGTAGAACTGTGAATAAGGCAGAGATATTTTACTAAACTGTAACAGGCACCTCTTACACCAGAGAGGTGTTATTGGACAGCTTCCTGAGTGAACAGGAGAGGGCTGTTCCCAACCTCGGTTCTTGTCTTCTCATATAAATGATTTTATATGAGAGACCTTGATTGCTTTGTGATAAAATGAATTTATTAAAACATTAAAGCAAGTGAATAAAAAAATTGAAGCATACACATTTATCAGCGAAGCAAGGCTAACAAATCTATACATCTGGCGTATGAAGCACAGATGGGCTCTCAGCTAATCTGAAGAGGAAGTGGGATGGGGGGTTTCTGCCTTATATATCCTCTTGTCTATAAGTTTTAAAAAAATTCCTCTGCCAGATATCCTGATACAAGTTAACTCTTTGTTATGGTTTTCCCACAATTTATGAGAAGTACCTGGTAACTTTATCTTGACAAACCCAAGACCACTGACTATACTGTTTAAACAATGGGCACCCTTCTTTTCCCTTCCTCCCTGCTGTTTTAACTGCTTCAGGATGACTCACACTAAGTAGTCTCTCTGATTAGTTTGAATTAAGATTCCTCCTCTCCCCCTTCCCTTCCCCCTCCTCTTCTGTGTTCTTTTGTTGGGAGAGGTTTTAACCGTTTGCTCTCAAGATAAGGTCCCACTACAAGTGTCCTGCAAAACTTTTTGGCTTTGTTTAATTTTCCTGCCTCAGTTTCCCTATTTCTCCTGCCCAGAAACTTTCCTAGCTTCTTACTATCCTATAACAAAACCACTCATGTGCTTTTCATATATGCCTGAGACCTGCATGGTTGAGAGGACATTGGCCAATTTCACTTTTCTGGAGTGACAGGTATTAACATTAGATTTGTCTGTTTTTATTACAAGCTAAACTTTTGCCTAAAGCTCTTGAAAATTCTCTTTTAACAGAATGCAGAGTCTGGATGACCCATGGACTGAAGAGGAGGGAGATGGCTCAGACCATCCATACTACAACAGCATTCCAAACAAGACACCTCCTCCAGGAGGGTTTGTTGATGCCCGACTGAAAGCCAGACCCCATGCCCCTGACACAGCCCAAGTTAGTTTTATAACTTTTTCTTTGGATGCTGGCTAACTGAACTTTATTTCCTTTTATCTTTCTCAACTTTATTTTCAGGTTGGTGTTCTGTCCAGTCTTTGACAGAATAACTCACACGCTTTCCCCCCTTGGATTTCACAAAGCAGACAAATAAGGGAGGTTTTGTTTTAACATTACAAGTAATTAATCAAGTACCTTGGAACTGTATTGTGATTCCTGAGCTAGGAGTCTGGGGGCCCCTTCTCCATTCTGGACAAATTTCATTGTACTGCAATCTTAATGAGGAGAAGAGAGAGTGCAAGACTTTTAAGAAACCTGGGTACTTCAGGTTCTCTGAAAAGACAGTGGACATAGGCTTTTAAAATGGTGAGAATTTTATGAGTTTTTCTATTTTAGCTATTTTCCCTCCAATTCACAATTCTAGTAAAGCAATTGTTTCCTAGAGTTATGGTATCTCTATAGAGGGTTTTTTGATGTCATCTACTTTTGTGAATAATAATGACACTACTAATAGTGTCAAAGTAACATTGAAATCAAGTGCCAGTAGCTCTGACGCTGAGAAGGAACCACTGGGTGGACTTGCCCAGGCGTGTCAGGTGGGCAGTGTGTTCTGATACACAGACACTCTAACAAATTTATTTCATGGCACGTTGAGTGATGCAGCTGTGTGGAGAAGGGCTCCATTCATGCTCACACTTGGGTGGAGGGGGGCTGGGTAGTTTTTGGACATGCAGTCTCTTCCTCACACCCACACAAACTTATTTCCTAAACCTTAACGCCAGCCGTGAGTCATGAAGGGAAAATTGCATGTAATTAGAGATGCAGTCGTCTGGCCACTGATGTCCCTTCCACTGTACTATGGCTTTTGGGGATGGGGAAAGAAGAACATAATTTTTTTTCTCTTTGTGTTAATAGTTTTCAGGAAAAGAGCAAACTTATTACCAGGGAAGACACCTAGGAGACCCATTTGGCGAAGACTGGCAGCAAACACCTGTCAGGCAAGGTAATGAAGGCAGCAAACATGAAAAACACAAATGCAGTGCTGCCGTCTGGTCCTCCGCCATCCTTAAGAAACTACTGATTTGCTTTATATGCTTATATAGATTAGTTTGCATTTTCTAGAATTTTATATACACATAGTTTATACATTATGCATTCCTTTTTATCTGACTTCTTTTCACTCAACAAAATTATTTTTAGACTCACTCCTGTTGCTGCGTGTATCCATAGTTTTTCCTTTTTCCTGATGACTAATATTCTATTGTATGAATATCCTACACTGTGTTTACTTGTTGATTGATATTTGTTTCCAATTTGTGGGCCTTACATATAAAGTTGGTTTGAACATTCCTGTTAAAAAACAAAACAAAACAAAACAAAAACAAAAGTAATGTCTCCCCAGTGGTAGTTCGTCTCCTGTGGAGTGGCAGAAAAACTTCCTGGAAAAGTCTGCTGAGGGTGGGGCTGCAGACTCTCCACTGGATCATAGAAATATATAAATTAATGGCTGCGGGGGTGCCACACACCAGCCGATGGCTCCCCGGCAGCAGAACCAGCTCATGTCCTCCAGCACTTACTGTTCTCAAGCACCCTGGAGACTTCCTTCTGACAGGAGGACTGAAGAACTGACCTCTCAAGGCACCTCCACCCACTTCCAATGGGAGTTGGCTGGAAGACGCAAGTGTGCTTCATGCTGTCCCTAAGCTCCCCAGCGGGCTGAACCCCAGTTGTTCCTCACAGGCACTAGTAGTAGCTTTCTCTTCCTGCTCTTCCCATCACCTCCTCTCCAGGGTCAACTTCAGGAGAATGAGAGTGACACCTACCAGGCAGAGATGGCTCCAGGGATGCGTCCCCCACGGGCCCTGGGTACATTTAGAGGATGCTGCCGCCTCTTATCAAATCAATGAGCATGCTCCCACATCCACATCCCACATCCACATCCACATCCCACATCCACATCCCACATCCCACATCCCACATCCCACATCCCACATTAAAAGTAACTCACACATGACTAATAACTAACTGCTACCGTAAGTCTTGATTCTGCAGACAGTTCTGTACACACATATGTGTATATATGAGTGTATTTTGTGTATTTTAAAGGTTTCTTTTAATTTTAAACTTTACCCCTCCTCAAACACTTCCTTCAATAGCTCCAGGGCTCTGACTACTAACTCTACAGGGTCTAAAGGAGATGGAGTTACCAATGAGTTAAGATCCAATATATATATATATTTCTTCATTTAATGTTAAGGCTTTTCCCTTATTGTAGCCATTTGTGCTGGGCGTAAATGACAATCATTTTTTAACATTATGTTTTTCAATTACAATTGACATTCAATGTTATTTTATATTACTTTCAGGTGTACAGAATAGTGGTTCAACAATTACATAATTTACAAAGAGATCCCTTTAATAAGTCTAGTACCCACCTGGCACCATACATAGTTATTACAATATTATTGACTTCATATCCTATGCTATACTTAATATCCCCATGACTATTTTGTAACTACCAAATTGCTCTTCTTAATCCCTTCTCTGTTTTCACCCAGCCCCACAACTCCCATCTCCTCTGGCAAACATCAGTCTGTTCTTTGTATCTATGAGTCTGTTCCTGTTTTGATCTTTAGATTCCACATATTAGTGAAGTATTTGTCTTTCTCTGTCTGACTTATTTCACTCAGCATAATAGTTTCTAGGTCCATCCAGCAGTTTCAAATGGTAAGATTTCATTTTTTATGGCTGAGTAATATTCCATTATGTATATTATATATAACTTTTTTTTTGGTTAATAATCTTCCCTTGAGCATATTTTTTCCATTGATTTCTAGAGAGAGTGAAAGGGAGGGAGCAGGGGTGAGACAGAGAGAGAGACATCAATGTGAGAGAGACACCGATTGATTGTCTCCTTACATGCCCCTACCAGAGTGAGGATGAACCTGCAACCCAGGTACGTGCCCTTGGCCAGGAATCAAACCTGAGACCCTTCTGTGCATGAGCCAATGCTCTAACTACTGAGCACACTGGCCAGGGCTATACCTTAACTTTTTTATCCACTCATCTATTGATGAGCACTTGGGTTGCTTCCATATCTTGGTTATCATAAATTATCCTGCAATGAACATAGGGGTGCATATGTATTTTCAAATTAGCACTTTGGATTTCTTCAGTTAAATAACCAGAAGTGGAACTGCTGGGTATAAGGTAGTTCTATTTTTTATTTTTTGAGGAACCTCTGTACTGTTTTCAATAGAGGCTGCACCAGTCTGCATTCCCACCAGCAGTACAATTTTTTCCACACCCTCACCAGCTCTTGTTTCTTGATTTGTTGATGGAGCCATTCTGACAAGTGTGAGGTGGTATCTCATTGTGGTTTTAATTCGCATCTCTCTGATGATTAGTGACATTGAGCATCTTTTCATATGTTTATTGGCCTTCGGTGTGTCCTCTTTGGAGAAGTGTTTATTTAGGCATTCTGCCCATTTTTTAATTGAATGGTTTGGTTTTTGGTGTTGAGTTGTACGAATTCTTTATAAATTTTGGCTATTAAGCCCTTATCAGATGTATCATTGGAAAATATCTTCTCCCATTCAGTAGGTTGTCTTTTTGTTTTGTTCATGAATTTCTTTCTGTGCAAAACCTTTTCCCATGTGTTTATTTTTTCTTTTGTTTCTCTCTCCCAAGGAGATACATCAGAAAAAAATATTACTAAGAGCAGTGTCAGAGAGTTTTTTGCTAATGTTTTCTTCTAGAAGTTTTATGGTTTTGAGTCTTATTTAAATTTTTAACTCATTTTGAATTTATTCTTGTATGTGGTGTAAAAAGATGATCTAGTTTCATTTTTTTACATGTATCTCTCCAGTTTTCCCAGCATCATTTACTGAATAGATTCTTTACCTCTTTGCATGTTCTTGTCTCCTTTGTCATATGCATTGACCATATAAGTGTGGGTTTATTTCTGGGCTCTCTATTCTGTTCCATTGATGTATATGTCTGTTTTTATGCCAGTATCATGCTCTTTTGATAACTATGGCCTTGTGGTATAGTTTGATATCAGGTAGCACGATACTTCCAACTCTCTTTCTCAAGATTGCTGTGGCTATACAGGGTCTTTTGTGGTTCCATATAAATTTCAGGATATTTTGTTCTAGTTCTGTGAAAAATGTGATTGCTATTTTGATAAGTATTGCATTGAATCTATTATTGCTTAAGGTAGAATAGACATTTTAACAATGTTATTTTTTCCTATCCATGATCATGGTACATGCTTGCATTTATTTGTATCTAATTCAAATTCTTTCTTCAATGTCTTATAATTTTCCAAGTATAGGATTTTTACCTCCTTGGTTAAATTTATTCCTAGGTATTTTATTTTGTTTTTGATGCAATTATAAATGGCATTGTTTTCTTAGTTTCTGATGGTTTATTATTGGTATATAAAATACAAGTGATTTCTGAATATTAATTTTGTATCCTGCTACTTTACTGAATTTATTTATCAGTTCTAGTAGGTTTTTGGTAGAATCTTTAGGGTCCTCTATATGGAGTAACATGTCATCTGCAAATAGTGACAGTTTTACTTCTTCCTTTTAAATTTGGATACCTTTTATTTCTTTTTCTTGTCTGATTGCTGTGGCTAGGACTTCCAATACTATGTTAAATAAAAGTGATGAAAGTGGGCAACCCTCTCTTGTTCCTGATCTTAAGGAAGACCCTTTTAGCTTTTCACTGTTGAGTATGATGTTGGCTGTGGGTTTGTCATGTGTGGCCTTTATTATGTTGAGGTATGCTCCCTCTATTTCCACTTTGCTGAGAGTTTTTGTCACAAATTGATACTGGATTTTGTCAAATGTCTTTTCTGTGTGTATTGATATGATCATATGATTTTTATTCTTCATTTTGTTTATGTGGTATATTATGTTAATTGATTTGCAGATATTGTACCAAATGTTGTATCCGAGGAATAAATCCCACTTAATCTTTTAATGTATTGCTGAATTTGCTTTGTTAATATTTTGTTGAGAATTTTTGCATCTATATTCATCAGGGATATAGGCTTATAATTTTCTTCTTTTGTAATGTCTGTCTGGTTTTAGAATCAGGATAATGCTGGCCTCATAAAATGAGCTTAGAGCCTTCCCCCCTATTGAATTTTTTGGAATAGTTTGAAAAGATTAGGTGTTAATTCTTCTTTGAACGTTTGGTAAAATTCACCTCTAAAACCATCAGTCTAGGACTTCTGTTTGTTAAGAATTTTGATCACTGATTTGATTTTGTTGGTAGTAGTTGGCCGGTGTAGATTTTCTGTTTCTTCTTGATTCAGTCTTGGAAATTTTTATGTTTTTAAGAATTCATACATTTCTTCCAGATTGTCCAAATTGTTGGTATATAACTGTTCATAGTATGTTCTGTAATCCCTTATATTTCTATGGCATCTGTTATCACTTATCCTCTTTCATTTCTGATTTTATTTACTTGGGTCCTCTCTCTTTTTTCTTTATGAGTCTGGTTAAAGGTTTATCAGTCTGGTTTATCTTTTTAAGGAGCCAGCTCTTGGTTTCATCAATCTTTAGTATTGTTTTTTTAGACCCTATTTTGTTTATTTCCAATACGGTTTTTATTATTTTCTTCCTTCTACTCATGTTGAGCTTTGCTTGTTGTTGTTCTTCTAGTTCCTTTAGGTGTAAGATTAGATTGTTTATTTGAGATTTTTTTTGCTTCTTGAGTTAGGCCTGTATTGTTNGATTGCTTTAGGTAGAATAGACATTTTAACAATGTTATTTTTTCCTATCCGTGATCATGGTACATGCTTGCATTTATTTGTACCTAATTCAAATTCTTTCTTCAATGTCTTATAATTTTCCAAGTATAGGATTTTTACCTCCTTGGTTAAATTTATTCCTAAGTATTTTATTTTGTTTTTGATGCAATTGTAAATGGCATTGTTTTCTTAGTTTCTGATGGTTCATTATTGGTATATAAAATGCAAGTGATTTCTGAATATTAATTTTGTATCCTGCTACTTTACTGAATTTTTTTATCAGTTCTAGTAGGTTTTTGGTAGAATCTTTAGGGTCCTCTATATGGAGTAACATGTCATCTGCNGTCCTTCAGATTGTCTCATGTCCATTTGAAAAGAATGTATATTCTGCTGCTTTGGAGAGAAATGCTCTAAAAAATCATTTAAATCCATCTGGTCTAATGTGTCATTGAAGGCCACTGTTTCCTTGTTGCTTTTCAACCTGGAAGATATTTGCATTTATGTCAATGGGATGTTAAAGTCCNAATGAAAGTGGGCAACCCTCTCTTGTTCCTGATCTTGAGGAAGACCCTTTTAGCTTTTCCCTGTTGGGTATGATGTTGGCTGTGGGTTTGTCATATATGGCCTCTATTATGTTGAGGTATNTCTGGAAGATATTTGCATTTATGTCAATGGGGTGTTAAAGTCCCCTTAGTGTGACTGTATTATTGTCAATCTCCCTTTATGTCCATTAAGATTTTATTTATATTTTTAGGTGCATAATTGTTTACAAGGGTTATGTCCTTTTGTTGGATTGATCCCTTTATCATTACATAATGACAATACATTTTNCTCCCTCTATTTCCACTTTGCTGAGAATTTTTGTCACAAATTGATACTGGATTTTGTCAAATGCCTTTTCTGTGTGTATTGATATGATCATATGATTTTTATTCTTCATTTTGTTTATGTGATATATTATGTTAATTGATTTGCAGATATTGTACCAAACATTGTATCCCAGGAATAAATCCCACTTAATCTTTTAATGTATTGCTGAATTTGCTTTGTTAATATTTTGTTGAGAATTTTTGCATCTATATTCATCAGGGATATAGGCTTATAATTTTCTTCTTTTGTAATGTCTGTCTGGTTTTAGAATCAGGATAATGCTGGCCTCATAAAATGAGCTTAGAGCCTTCCCCCCTATTGAATTTTTTGGAATAGTTTGAAAAGATTAGGTGTTAATTCTTCTTTGAACGTTTGGTAAAATTCACCTCTAAAACCATNATCCTTCAAATTGTTTCATGTCCACTTGAAAAGAATGTATATTCTGCTGCTTTGGAGAGAAATGGTCTAAAAAATCATTTAAATCCATCTGGTCTAATGTGTCATTGAAGGCCACTGTTTCCTTGTTGCTTTTCAACCTGGAAGATATTTGCATTTATGTCAATGGGATGTTAAAGTCCCCTACTGTGACTGTATTATTGTCAATCTCCCTTTATGTCCATTAAGATTTTCTTTATATTTTTAGGTGCATAATTGTTTACAAAGGTTATATCCTTTTGTTGGATTGATCCCTTTATCATTACATAATGACAATACATTTTTAAAATTCCCTCCCTGTGAGAGAATTTCACATGTTGCCTGCCCCAGCTAAAAAATGACCCATCCATGCTGGGCTGGTCAATTGAACATAAAGCTTGGTAAAGCCACCACATAGCTTTACATCACAATAGGATGGAAATAGTAAGTCAAAGTCATAACTTTGTCAGAGGCACTTATTTACTATGTTTTCATCTTTGTTCCACAGACATTTTAAAAAATGTATTTATATAACACATATGTACCTCGGCATATAAGGAGACACATTATTTATATTAGATATTTACTTTATTGAAAAATATGTTAGGTTTATTTAAAAATGAAGTCTCTTTTTGTATATTAGTTACTCTGGCCAGATCAAGAACAGACAATGTAAGAGGTTCATCAGGGCTGAAATGAGCCTTATGTAAGTTCCTGACCTAGAATTTGGGAGTCATTACTCTTAATAAATTTCAAGTTCTCATTTGAAAGCAATAATTATCTTTTTTCATCAAACAAATAAGAATGTTTCTTGTTAATTTGCTAGCAGCGATTCCCCTAACTAAATGAACTACCAGCGCCCATAGAGTGTGAAGGGTGACCTTTCTCTGGAGATGTGAACACCAAAAGGCCATCTTGAGAATATATAGAGTGTCCCCAAAAATGTATACACACACTTTGAATAACTATAGAGGCAGTGTTTATTAAAATACATTTCATTTTCAAAAATGAGCTATCAGCAGTTTAAGTGTGTATATGTTTTTTGGGGACCCCTGTATATGTGTAAATGTGTTAGAGACTGGGATCCCATAGAAAGAATTAGACAGTGACCCAAGCAGGCGTGATTGGGCAACACCCTTCAGCTCTCTTGAGGTGACAACCGCAGGAACCACAGGCTCCGCCTGGGCAGCCTTGGGCCAGCTGGGAAGTACATACAGTCCTGCCTGGGGGGGGGGGGCTCAATCACGCGCCCATGCTGGACCTCCTGCATGGAGCCAGGGGCTGCCAGGCTGGCTCTGTTTTATAAGAAAAGATGCCTCAGTTCATTAGGTAGCAACTTTCTAAAATGGGGTAGCAGCACCCAGGTTGCTTTACTAGAGGGGAGTTGATTTACAAAGCATTCACTTACACTTAAAAGAAACAAAGGACAAGTCAGTTAAGGCTGTCGCTCTTCTGCTTGGTTGTTTGACCCGAGGGCCTTTGAACAGGGAGGCGCGGACCAAGGCTTGGCCTGCTCCACTCACCTGCCGGGTCACGGGCGGTCTTGGTGAGGTGCTAGCCATCACGGCGCCCACTGTCGTGGGCTGACAATCTCGTTTTGACCTGTAGGTGTAGAGTGTGTCCTAGCCAGGATACAACAAAGCACGTGATTGGGTCAGAGGAGGTTTAAACTGCGGGCAGCTGCAAGAATTTTCTTGTGGTTGACCTGGAGGACGGGCTCTGTGAAGCTGGGCGGGGCGTCCGGGTAAGCGCGGGGCCTGCCTTAGCATCGGGAGAAGAAAGGGCGCTCGCTTTGTGTTGCAGGGCCGGTGGACACGTACAGCAGGCCGGAGGGGAAGGGGCGCGCGGCCCCTGCCGGAGAGGCCCCCACCTACGTGAACGCCCCGCGCTTCCCGCCGCAGGCCGGGGCTGCTGCGGGGCGCAGCGCGGAGAGCAGCCCGAGGAAGGACCTCTTTGACATGAGTGGGTTTCCGTTCGCCTTTGGTTTCCTTGTCTTTTGAGGTTGCTTTCTACACTGATTTTATTAGGAATTTGTGCAATTACTGCATTTTCTGCCGGCTGGGTTTGATGAACGGTGCTGGCTGGCTGCACGTTCCTGGGTTGTGGTTGGGCTTTCCAAGGCTTTGAACTCTGGCCAGCCTCTGCTTTGCGATTCCATCTGTCTTTTGTCCAAAGACAAAGTAATTTCCCCCTTTTTTGGGCATTGACTTACCGCTTGAAGATCTACACGTGTATTGAGACAAACAATATACATAAATAAATGCACTCGTTTATTTCTTTACTTAAATATTAATTGGCTATTGTGTACCAAGTCCTGTCCTAGTTGCTAAGGATGCCACAGTAAAATGGCATGGCCACTGTCCCCACAGAGCTCTCAGTCTGCTGAGCAAGGCCAACATCTAAGCGAGAACTTGCCACGAACCCCTCCCGTGTGCACACGCATTCCTCTCATTCCTCTCCTATTCTCTCTCTTTCTTGGCCACCACAAATCCTCCCCTCCTCTACTGAACACTGAGCATGTCAGATACTATTCCACTCACTGGGGAGATGCAGGAAAACAAAACAGGCGAAGTCTCTATTCCCGTGGAGCCGCAGTACTACTGTGTATTAGCAGGTGGTAACAAGAGCATTGATGAAAAACGGACAAGACCAAGCGAGACAGGAAACCACGTAGATAGCGATGCGGTGGCATGTGACCAAGGCCTTTCTGTTTGTTGTAAACGTCAGGAAAATGAAATCATCCCTGAACCGATGAACAGAAATGGAAACTCTTGTTAAGGAATTTTGAAAGAACTACCCAAGCTCACAAGCGCTTTCTATCCCAAAATTTCTATTTCAAATTCCTTGAGAAATTAAAGGCTAAAGAGGGACGGAGATTAACATTTAACAACTTTCTACCACGTGCTAGGCACTTATTATTTCATTTGATTTTTGCAGCGATACTACAGGTAGAGGTTATTACAGTCATGTGCCACAGAACGACGTTTGGGTCAACTCCAGACCACATTTATGGCAGTCCCCCGAGATTACGATGCAGCTGAAAAATCCCTGTTGCTAGCGATGTCACTGGTGTCTCAGCGCAGCACACTGCTCATGTGTTTGCGGTGGTGCCGTGCACACAAGCTCACTGTGCTGCCAGGTGTCCACGTTTGTGTGAGTCACTCTACAATGTTCATAAAATGACAAAATCCCTAACGACACATTTCTTAGAAAGTTTCTCCATCAGGAAACACCACGTGACTGTATTATTATTACTATTACTATTATTAGCCTTATTTTACAGAGGAGAAAACAGAGAACCCTAGAGGTTAGGGAACTTCACTGCCTGTAAAAGGCAACCTTGCTGGCTGACACCTGCTGTCCGCGGTACTGGGTGCGAGTGAGGACAGGGCTGAGTGCTTTATGATGAGGCGGCCCCACGACAGCAAGAGACCGTTCCTCCTCGGCCGCTGTGGGTTCACAGACGCTGACTCCATTCTGACCTACAAAGATCACCCGACCAGAACTGAAGAACCTCAGTGCTTGGGGGCACCTTAAAGATGATCTGGTCCAATCCCTTCACTTGAAATAACGTGGAAACGGCTTAGGAGGTGTGAAGTGACTTTCCCAAGATGCAGAGCAAAGTGGTGGCTCTTCGAGCCTCTGCTCCAGGTGTGACGATGTCTCACAGCTGCAGCTTAGCAGCTGCATTTGTGGTCAGGAAGCTTTACTGCTCACTTTAGACAGTTTATCGGTGGTTCCTGGACCCAGAGCCTGAGAGAGTTAGATTGGCCTTGGGTTTGAGATGGGAAAAATGAGAACAGAGCCAGCATGTTCTCATCCACTGATTTCTATTCCTGCTCCTGAAATTAGAGAAGAGGAGACAAAAAGAAGAAAGGGCCCTGGGATGCTAGTGTCTATTGAAAAATATGAATAAGCACTATTTCTTCTTTATTTTGGACCACTAGAGCTAAATAATGATGGTGATGATGGTAGTGGCGATGGTGATGATGGTGGTGGTGATGGTGGTGATGGTGGCGATGGTGGTGGTNTCAGAGGCACTTATTTACTATGTTTTCATCTTTGTTCCACAGACATTTTAAAAAATGTATTTATATAACACATATGTACCTCGGCATATAAGGAGACACATTATTTATATTAGATATTTACTTTATTGAAAAATATGTTAGGTTTATTTAAAAATGAAGTCTCTTTTTGTATATTAGTTACTCTGGCCAGATCAAGAACAGACAATGTAAGAGGTTCATCAGGGCCGAAATGAGCCTTATGTAAGTTCCTGGCCTAGAACTTAGGAGTCATTACTCTTAATAAATTTCAAGTTCTCATTTGAAAGCAATAATTATCTTTTTTCATCAAACAAATAAGAATGTTTCTTGTTAATTTGCTAGCAGCGATTCCCCTAACTAAATGAACTACCAGCGCCCATAGAGTGTGAAGGGTGACCTTTCTCTGGAGATGTGAACACCAAAAGGCCATCTTGAGAATATATAGAGTGTCCCCAAAAATGTATACACACACTTTGAATAACTATAGAGGCAGTGTTTATTAAAATACATTTCATTTTCAAAAATGAGCTATCAGCAGTTTAAGTGTGTATATGTTTTTTGGGGACCCCTGTATATGTGTAAATGTGTTAGAGACTGGGATCCCATAGAAAGAATTAGACAGTGACCCAAGCAGGCGTGATTGGGCAACACCCTTCAGCTCTCTTGAGGTGACAACCGCAGGAACCACAGGCTCCGCCTGGGCAGCCTTGGGCCAGCTGGGAAGTACATACAGTCCTGCCTGGGGGGGGGGGGCTCAATCACGCGCCCATGCTGGACCTCCTGCATGGAGCCAGGGGCTGCCAGGCTGGCTCTGTTTTATAAGAAAAGATGCCTCAGTTCATTAGGTAGCAACTTTCTAAAATGGGGTAGCAGCACCCAGGTTGCTTTACTAGAGGGGAGTTGATTTACAAAGCATTCACTTACACTTAAAAGAAACAAAGGACAAGTCAGTTAAGGCTGTCGCTCTTCTGCTTGGTTGTTTGACCCGAGGGCCTTTGAACAGGGAGGCGCGGACCAAGGCTTGGCCTGCTCCACTCACCTGCC